TACGAGAATACTTTTTGTACGCAAAGAAAACAAAAATAACGACTTTATTCAACAATATGTCTCCTCCGCGTCACCCTGGTGCCATTTTGGAGAATATCAGCTGGACGTAAACAGCGTATGCTGTTCTGTGTCAAGTCAAGTCAAGTCACCTTTATTTATATAGCGCTTTTAACAATACAGATTGTGTCAAAGCAACTGTACAGCATTAATTAGGAAAATATTGTGTCAATACTGCAAAATGATAATAGTACACACTCAGTTTTCAGTTGAGACATTCAAACTGACCAAACTGTGTCAGCTGTGTCACACGGATGTAGGGTCAAAAATAATCAAAGACTTCTGCTTTCCTGTCCCAAGCATATCTTGAGCGACAAAAAGGCCATTTGGAATTCCTGAAGGCACAGGGGTTCTGATATCGATCAAGGCCTGTAGGCCAACATGTGTATACATCGGGGGTCTGCTAATTGTCACACCTTTTGCACAGTGGGTGAAGCTGTAATCTGCTGATTAGTCAGTTTGAATGTCTCACATTTGGTTTTTAGTCACATGGTCAAGGAAGGGATAAAAGAAGACTGTAACTGTTGATCTGTCTCTTTTTCTTTGCTCTCTCTTTCTTTGCTGGGACTCTCTTATTGGGGCTCTGCCCTCTCTCTCTCTTTCTCTCTATCTCTCTATCTCTCTTTCTCTCTCCCTCAGGTAACATTTTACATACATGCTGGGTACCTTTAACTGTATATGTTTTACCATTCTTCATCAATTTTGTAACCAATTCAAGTGTAACCATAACAAAAAAGTTGAAAAAAGAGGCAAAGTTTTGAAAATGTAAGCAGTTGAAAAAAACTGTAAGAAAATCTGTAATACCTTGAAAAGTTTGAAAGACAAATGTATGCTGGCAAATGCAAAAGTTTTTGTTGCTCTTAAATTTGCACTAAACGTGATTATACCATCTAAGTAGCCTATGTAATTTTAATAGAACTGCATGTCTTTAGTGATACAAGCTCAGAAACATTTATAACCTGTTGACGTTTTTTTATATTGTGCATTGACTTGGTGCCATGATGGATATTGGAATGTTATTTATTTTTCATTTTAAACAGTATAGATGATTACTTAATGGTAATACAATATTTGTGATCACAACTGTGTCAGACCATTAATCCCCAAAAACTATGCATGGGGGCTTGCTTTGGTGTTGCCACCCCTCATAGACCCCATGCCACCCCTTTGCCACCCTAAAAATTATTTTCTAGATCTGCCCCTGGCGCCACCTACTGGCAACAGGAAGTGACATGTTTAACACTGTGATGCACTATTAGCAACACAGTAAAATATGCCATTGTGTGCTAAACATGCTAGAAAGTATGCTCAAACATGCTAGCAACACTTACGAAGTGCTAAAGCATGCTAGTAATACCATGAAACAGGAAGTTGTTGTAACTCATGCATACAATGCCTAATCTGCCCCCAAACTTCCCATGTTTTATAAAAGTCCTGGCCTGAACACATCTTAAGGCCAATATTCCGTTATAATCATAGCGCCACCTGCTGGCAACAAGAAATGACTTGTTTTACACTAACTTGAACATGCAATGTCCTCGTCCTCTTTTGGAAGGCCAAACAAAGTAGTTTCGCTTTCACAACGAAGCACACAACGCTGTGTGCTGGACCACCGTACTGGTCGTCTTTACGACATGGCGGCGGAAACAACAACAATACTACAGCGAGAATAAAAGTTACGCCTTCTTTCTTTGCGTGCAACCAAACATCACATGTTTAGTAACAATACTGGCCTGAAGACATCTACACATCAATATTCAGTAATAATCATAGCGCCACCTGCTGGCAACAGGAAATGACTTTGTTTAGACTAACTTAAACATGCAATGTCCAATCTACACCAAACATCACATGTTTGGTAAAAATACTGGCCTAAAGACATCTACACGTCAATGTTCAGTTACAATCATAGCGCCACCTGTTGGCAACAGGATATGTCATGCTTTACTCTAACTCAAACATACCATGTTCAATCTGCACCAGACTTCACATGTTTGATAAAAGTCCTGGTCTGAAGACATCTACATGCCAACATTCAGTTATAATCATAGCGCCACCAGCTGGCAGCAGGAAGTTTGCCACATATAAATGACTTTGATATATTCCTCCTATATTTACCACTTTAAATGCATATTGCCCACCGTTTGCTGTTTTCCTAAAGCCACCGGGTGGTGGTGAGCCCGTGTGCGAGGGCCCTTTCATCGCTGCTTGCAGCTTTAATTTGGACTTTGTTTTCCTTTTGCACCGTTTGCCTTGTGTTGATTATAGGTGTGCCTAGTTAATTATCCTTGTTTGGTCTGAGTACTTAAGTTCCTGTATGTTCACTTTGAGTTTGTCTTGCCTTAAGTCTACATGTCTTGAATGTTTGTGTACATTGTGTTTGGATTTACCCTTGTTGGATTAAAGACTTATGATATATAACTTTTCATCTTCATTGTGCGCTCTTTAACACAGCGTAGCCGTTACTGGTAGAGTCTGAGTGAGAAGCATTTAGGTTCACTTGTGAAGAACTGTTTTTAAAGTTTTGGAATGTGTCTTTGAATATTTATCTGTGACATTTGAATTGCTGCTTGTGCAAAACTTGGGTCGGGATGATTTTACCAAGTATAGGACACATTTCTGCACAAGATATTGGTATATTACCATTATTCAAGTTCCTTGTTTCTTTTCTTTCTTTCTTTCATTCTTTATTTCTTGCTTTTAGTCGTAAATATGAATCTTTGCTGGTTATAATTTACATTTGCTTTTAGTCATTTAGCAGATGCTTTTATCCAAAGCGACTTACAAATGAGGACAATGGAAGCAATCAAAATCAACAAAAGAGCAATGATATGCAAGTGCTGTGACAAGTCTCAGTTAGCTCAACATAGTACACGTAGCAAGTTTTAATTATATAATAAATAAAAAGAAAACAGATAGAATAGAAAAAGAATAGAGCAAGCTAGTGTTAAGAGGCCTTTTTGCTTTTGTTAATTGTATAATAAATAAAAAGAAAAGGAATAGATAGAATAGAAAAAAGAATAGAGAAGCTAGTGTTAGTTTTTTTTTTAAGAAAACAAGCAGTTAGTAAATGAATAGAGTGCAAGTCTAAAAGGGGCAAGTTTTTTAAAAAGCTGTTTTAAGAATAGAATTAGAATAGAGATTGCTAGAGTTAGAGGGTCACATAAAGATGGAACAGATGTATTTTTAGCCGATTCTTCAAGGCTAAAGATTCAGCTGCTCGGATTGAGTTGGGCAGGTTATTCCAGGAAAATTTTATTTAAGCATTAATTTAAGGAAAGTCAAAGGATCTGGAAATGAAGAAACAACCATCTGCAGGTAAATTTGAAAAAAAAAGCAAAAAACAAAACAAAAAGCAAGATGCAGTAGGATAATAACAAAGTAAGGATGCAAAACAGGAAATGGGAAAATTACAGAATGACCATATAGACTAGAAATTAATAATAAAAAAAAAAGAAGCAGGAATACAGAGTACTGAATATTGTGCAGAAGGCCCAGAGGGGATTCATCAGTTGCGCAAAATCACCTGCATTGTACTAAAAATTGTGCAAAATAGGCAGATGCATATACTTTGAATAGATGCGAATGAAAGTAAAGAGATCTGGTCAGGGTATTGTTACGTTGTCATACGTTTAATTAAATAGCCAATAAATAGATCTATGAATGTATTAGCTGGTAGATGGATGCATGAATGAAAGCCAGATATATGAGCCATAATGTGTGTGTGTGCATGTGTTTGTTTGTTTGTCTATTTATTTTTACCTCACACAATGTATGGTACTTGTCTGCAAATCACGCGTTTTCAAAGTCATACGTTTAATTAAATAGCCAATAAATAGATCTATGAATGTATTAGCTGGTAGATGGATGCATGAATGAAAGCCAGATATATGAGTAGTAATAGTAAACAACACTGCATGAAATAAGCCATAATGTGTGTGTGTGCGTGTGTTTGTTTGTTTGTCTATTTATTTTTACCTCACACAATGTATGGTACTTGTCTGCAAATCACGCGTTTTCAACAACTGGATCTGTGGGTGGTGCGACTGTCCCAGAACAACACACTTAATTTTCATTCACAGCAGTAGTGAGGACAATTACAGGTACTATTATTTATATAATGATAGCCTATTATAAGACTTGCAAATTTCTTCCCTTTTTTGTGATGCCAATCCAAGCAGGCTGGACCTGGCCCTGGCCCTGGGTGACTTGCTCATTACAGTTTTCTTTCCTCCTTTTCAAGCAAACTTTGCAGGGAGTCCCAGGAACATGCTTTTTTATCTCTCTGAATTGTCTTCATAAAATCTTCTGTTACTGTCCAGGAGATGGCGCTGTTGATCTGTGCATGGCTGTCTCAACGCGGTGATGGAGGTGGAAATACCAGACAAACTGGCTTTAGATTTCCGGCTTTACTTCATTGCAGCACTTCTTAAAAAGGACAGATGACACATTTTGGACAGATGACCAACAGTTCTAGTGCATTATTGTGCATGCATGATTTTCTAGTGTAATCAATTTGCTTTCTGGAAGTTTAACATCGTTTGTGTGTGACTTGCAGGAATGCATTTTTAGAGGAAAGCATGGCTGGTGTTGTTTCAGACAGGTGAGCAATTACTCAGAACATATGCACGCCTCCTCTGCGTCACTACGGTGACCCAAAAGCCCACAAAACCCATGGCAGCGATCACTAACGGACCCTATTAACCAGTCATCACGCACCTGCAGCTGGGCACGCTAAATATAATTAGACCGTTCTGCATACTGTGACAACTTCTGCTGAAACCCATCCCTAAAACCCGCTCATTATATGTGTGTGGCATCCTTTGGGTACGGCAAAGCACTGGTCTAATTGTCACATCAATTTACACCGTTTTCAAGGTAATGCGAACGTTAACAGAAGGACAAGTAAAATGTTAAGAAGCAATGCTTCAGCTGGTGTGTCAGCTACAATGAAAAACACAGTAGTTGAGCACATTTCGCGAACATGCCCATTCCACTAGTCTTTTGTGCACACGATGTGCTATATAACCATTATTCAAGTTCCTTATTTCTTTTCTTTCTAACTTTAATTTTTGCTTTTAGTGGTAAATATGAATCTTTGTATATTATGTTTTTTGAAGGAAAGTCAGAGGATCTGGAAATGAAGAAACAACCATCTGCAGGTAAATTTGAGAAAAAGATGCAAATAAAGTAAGGATACAAAACAGGAAATGGATAAGTTGGAAGAACAATATAGACTAGAAATGAATAATAATAATAACAAAAAAACGCAGGAAGACAGAGAACTGTAGCTACAGTATATCGTGCAAAAGGTCCTGTGGGGATTCATCAGTTGTGCAAAATCACCTGCATTGTGCAAAAGATTTGTGCAAAATAAGCACAAAATTTACTTAAATAGCCAATTAATAGATCTATGAATGTATTAGCTGGTAGATAGATGCATGAATGAAAGGCAGATAGTAGTGGTAGTAGTACTGCTGCGTAAATGTGTATTTTTCACCACAGATTTATTCTGCAGGGGATTAGTTTAGGAGGCCACTGCCAAGCCCAAAATCTCATGCCATGCTTTGTGTTTGGTCTGTAAACACACTTTTGCTGTTGTCTGTCGATGCCTTTGCTCATGTTAGTTTGAATAATTGATGAATCTTAAAGTGATTGTATGGCAACTGGGGTGCTGATGAAGGAGCAGCGAGAGGAAGGGACCTTTGTGTATTTCCTGCATCTCATGGGGCTGCGCTGAGATTCGCTGCTTACTCAGTAGTGAAACCTTCATATCCAAGTGTTTTGTGCTGACAAAGGGCAAATGGGATTCTATTTTACAGCAAACGATGCAAGATTGCACTATTGCGCATCAAAAGAGCGCCAGGCTGAAAAAAAAACCCGGTGGGTTTCCTTGTCGTCAACCGCTTTTGAATGAATCACAAGTTTCATGTTGGTGATACATGTCCTTTTGCAGTTTTTCTTATCGTACTGTATTTCTGATGCAGACATTCAAATCTCAACTGAAGAGGAAACTGGCTGTCTAATTGATCGGTGCCATTAGTTAACGCTTTAATTAAATGAAGCAATACAATGAGCAATACATTTGTACAGTATGTAATATTCTTGTTTAACATTAGGTAAGAAAAAACTAATGTTCATTGGTAGTTCATGTCAGCCCATGTCCATTAGATAATGTTAATAGAAAACTTTCTATTTTAACAATGTATTAGGAAATGCTAAAATGATCAACTAAGATTAATAAATGCTTTAGAAGTCTTTTTCATTGTTCATGTGAACTAATGTTAATAAATGGAAACTTATTGCAAAGTGTTAGCACTGGTATTAGCGTTAGTCTCATGAAGAATACATTTAACGTCACTTTTTCAGAAGATGACTATTCTGAATCTATTAACGGAGCTAACCAGTTAACCATCTGTTATTTTTTTGTGTGTAACTATTTTTCTCAACACTCTCTTCACACTGTCTAGTTTGCAGGTCTGCCGTGGTCTTTATTTTACTCTTGGCAGATTCGCTGTTGTGTTAAACATACAACGTTTCCTTGATATATTTGTTAATTTACACAAGAATAAGGTCTAGAATGGTCAAATATACCAAAGAAGTCAAAGTTCCCCAATGTAAGTCAATACCTAATAGTAATATAGATGCTTTTTAAGCCTTCCTAATTAGGTCCCGTGGGTATTGAGATCTTCTCCTAACACCGTGCCATTGCTTAAGCTGGCTTTAGCATCAGAACTGATACCCCCCGACCGCGCATCGACACAGTATACGAAAGGCTTCCGACGTGTATAGGTGTGAAAGAGGTCCGGTTATTAGATGTAAAAATGTGCCGACAGGAAATCGATGTACTCCCCTGCCGATACACGGTCCGCCATCACTCCAGCTGCCTCGCACGCAGCCGGCCGAGCCCACATCGCTCCTGACACTCCTCACACCAGCACTGTGGCAGATGGCGACTGGGAGCAGAGGGGGAATACTGCTGCCGAACACAAGCAGCCAAGGGCTGGTCGAGCCAGGCCTCCCCCACCCGTTCTCCCTTGGGTCAGGTTCTGAGAAGACCCTCCACCATCCCCTGATCCAGGATTCTGGCCACTACAGATGGGCTTTTATACTGTATATGGACCGCAGTATTCAGTCGAGTCGGGAGGGAATGCGATGCCCAAATCTATGCTAATAGTGTTTACTGACAATTGCTGATTTTGGCAGCTCGGAGATCCGTAACCGTCTGCGTTATGAATTCTAGTGTGCGTGTTGTGTGATTCAACGGGAATCGATATCCTTCCACCTCGCTCTCCCTCCAAGCAGTCAGGCTGCTTTGTGAACTTTGACAGCTCTTGAAAACTCCTGCAAATGATTATCAATGGCTGCGTATTAGCAGGAGACTCAAACAAGGGGGTGAGTGAAGTGCAATAACATAATATCGGGTTGAGAGGCAGGTCAAGGTGGACTAGGGCGCTAACCTCAGCAGTTTACGAGAAGGAAATTCTTCAAGGGGTGTAAAATTGAGATGCCCGCTCGCTCTAGGGCTAACAAACAAGCAGTCATCGGATGCGATGCAGATGGCACACAGCCTCCCACTGCTTTGTGTTTCCATTTCGCGTTTCATCGATGTAATGCATCGGGCGACGGAAAGGTAATGACCCTCAGCCGGCCGAGCCCACATCGCTCCTGACACTCCTCACACCAGCACCGTGGCAGATGGCGACTGGGAGCAGAGGGGGAATACTGCTGCCGAACACAACCAGCCAGGGGCTGGTCGAGCCAGGCCTCCCCACACCCGTTCTCCCTTGGGTCGGCTTCTGAGAAGACCCTCCACCATCCCCTGATCCAGGATTTAGGCCACTACAGATGGGCTTTTATACTGTATATGGACCGCAGTATTCAGTCAAGCAGGGAGGGAATGCGATGCCCAAATCTATGCTAATAGTGTTTACTGACAATTGCTGATTTTGGCAGCTCGGAGATCCGTAACCGTCTGCGTTATGAATTCTAGTGTGCGTGTTGTGTGATTCAACGGGAATCGATATCCTTCCACCTCGCTCTCCCTCCAAGCAGTCAGGCTGCTTTGTGAACTTTGACAGCTCTTGAAAACTCCTGCAAATGATTATCAATGGCTGCGTATTAGCAGGAGACTCAAACAAGGGGGTGAGTGAAGTGCAATAACATAATATCGGGTTGAGAGGCAGGTCAAGGTGGACTAGGGTGCTAACCTCAGCAGTTTACGAGAAGGAAATTCTTCAAGGGGTGTAAAATTGAGATGCTCGCTCTAGGGCTAACAAACAAGCAGTCATCGGACGCGATGCAGATGGCACGCAGCCTCCCACTGCTTTGTGTTTCCATTTCGCGTTTCATCGATGTAATGCATCGGGCGACGGAAAGGTAATGACCCTCAAACCGCTAACAGGTCTTTCTGTCAAACAGATTACTGTCAGCTTTCATTGATTTGTGTTGCCTTTAAAAATGGCCCGTCTCCCTTCTCGCTAATGGATCAGATCTGTAATTGGGCCTGGCCTAAATGATTCAGATGAGGTGCCTGTCTCGGTCCTGGTTTCCCTCGTCAGTTTCGCCCCCTCCTCTTTCATTAGCAATTCAGCAGACTTGCTAAAACCACGGGGTGCCCCATTCCCGTCACCCCTGACTCAATGAGTCAAAGCCCCGTCCTGCACAAAGACATAGTCAATCTGTGCAACAAATCACCCAAAATGGTGCCATTGGTCTCTCTCTGAAGAGCAGTTATGGAAACCGAAATGGAACCTAGGACTCTTTGAAATGTAGTAAACGCCCGATATCTTCTCTAATTGGATAGAAAAATGAAACCACATATTCATATTTGCTTATTTGTTGCTCCAAATGAGTCCATAGAAAATCCCTAATAGCACACTTCACAAACAGACTGCTGAAGGGGGAGCAGAATTCGCCGGTCATTGCCATAGGGAAAAATCATACGGCTGTGGGGTAATTGCTTTACCTGTTATCACCCCTGCGTCCTTGCTGACATGGACGTGTTCACGGATACCACAACCGACAAAGACAGTTGGTTGAAAGACAATTTTAAAAGCATTTATTTGTTTTCACGTAGTGCTTTGAGACCCCATATAGCAACCCTGCATGTTGATGCTAGCGTAACCATGTCACTATGACGGCACAGGCTTAAGATGGACCCAAATGAATTGAGAATGCTTTTTAAAGGGGTCATATGATGCAATTTAAAGTTTTCCTGACTACAATGCCGGCTGTTCTGACTCACAGACTGTAAGTATGTTTTCATATTTCATATTTAAAGGATCTGCCACTGATGATTCAAACGAGAGTTTTGAGCAGTGTAGAGTAGCGCTTGTTGTTTGTAATTTCTCCGATGTTTACAGCACATCTCCATATGTGAAAGAGTCTGGTCTCGCCTAACAGAAGTGGAGGGCTGTGGTGGAAAGCTTTGCCCTCCAGTGGTTATAAAACATGCAGGCCTCTCGGCCGAACCTGGCCTCCCTTCAGACCAATGAATAATAGCACAAAGTGAAGCTACTAAATCATTGAAATGACTGCAGCGTGTCTGTCCAGTTAGCGCTCCTCCCAGAAACGCTTGATCAACGGCAGAGAAGAGAAATCACAGAGCGGTAAGACGCAACGCTGCTCTCCTTGGGATTACTTGCACTCTGATGGCCTCCAGAAATCACAGCTTTGTTAGCCCTCATATTTACCAACACTAATCAGATAATCGCTGGTTTAAGTAGCCAGACATCTATCAGGAGCACAGTGTTGGTGTTTCGAGGCGCTAAATTGGTCCACTGACCTAGCCGTGAAGGCATTTGAAAAGGAAATGGGCGAAGGTCACTCGACCAAAGTCGACTGAGGCTCGCAGTCGCAGAGAAATGGGAGAGGCTGAGCTCAGCCCTCTAGAACGTGATGATTTATTTACATTCAGAGACAATATGAATAATGTATCTGTGAAAAGGAACATGAATTTCTTTAGTACTAATTGTGGAGAAGGCTGGGCGCTCGGCGGACGGGAGGGGGACTGGAGGACCCCCAAGATCAGAGGGGCGAGAGCCTCAAAGACGCCTGTCCTGCAGCCACCGCCATCGACTTGCAAATCAGCTGAAGGAGGCTAATTAGCGGCAAGCTAATGAAACCGACATTCGGGGCATCGCTGCAGAAGAAAAAAAGGACACGGAGAAGAATCAGGGATCCCTTTCTCAGCGATATCGCTGGCACCATTTGAAGTTGATTTCAGAGCACATCAATATGTGAACAAAGTTGAGGAGAGCGAGCGAGAGAGAGATACAGTATGAAATTAGCATTCATTTGAAGAATGGAGACTGTTATTTACTGGCTTGCTTTTGGCACATTTGCCACTCTGGGGAATGACTTTTCTATGGCGTCTCAATGCCGCATACAAAATTCACAACCATGGGAGACAGGGGATGTAATGGCAACTTCTTGAAATCTCTCTTTCTCTCTCTCTTTTGCTGTTTCATGCATACGCTGCTCTCCCTCGCTGCTGTTTTTCATGTTGGGACTGTTGCAGAGTGTTTGTCGCTATGTGCACCACCTCAGATCTGAGGTCTGTCGTGACACAATTTGGACTCGTGTGCATCACCCGTGTGGCCTGCATGCATCTGGTGGACCAGCCGAAAAACTTTGCTGGTGAAGCGAGTGTGTTTGTGTGTGTAAGAGCGCTGCATTGGCCTCTTCTAAAGTCTGGTGTCTTTTGAAGACGTCGTATTGCCGTTGGTAACACTGAAAGCCTACGGCATCTACAGGGTCTCTGAGCATGTGTGTTTGAACATCAGTCAGCTCATATACGGTCACGGCCTCAGGGAGACACAACATACGTGCTCACTAACATCTTGCAGTCCTTCACGGAACTATGTCACACTTATCAATGT